CACACTAGCTCAGACTTCGTATCAGGGAGCTCTCTCTTTCTCTCTATAGAGAGAGAGAGAGAGAAAGAGAGACAGACAGACAGACAGACAATGAAGCATCCCTGGACTACTCAATTCCTTCCATGGCTGAATCATTCTGCACTGCAGAGCATTGGTTCCCAACCTGTGGTCCATGGACCCCAGTGGCCCACAAGAATTAAAATATGGTCCGTGGCCTTACCATTATTACACCGTTGTAACAAGAGTGACTGGTCTCACAAAACCCTTTTATAGTGGTGAGGCTTATTAAATATGGTTTTCTTGGACAAGCAGATGGTGACTTCTAGATGGCATACATTCTGTATCAGAAACTAGAGGCGATGTGGTCTACCCAATGCAATTTTCTGAATCATCACCCCAAATAACCAAGCCAAATCTAAAGTTGACCAAAAATTTATTCGTAACCCTTTTGGTACTGATGTTGGAGAGTGGTTCCTGGTCAAAAAAGAAAAAAAAAAGGTTGGGAATCACTGCTGTAGGGTTAATGATATTTGGCATCACTTTTACTGCCATGGCTCAACACTGTGGGATCCTGGGAGTTGTAGTATTGTGAGATCTTTTGAATTTCAGAGTTTTCTTAAACAAGGTGTTCTGCCATTGCCTTCCTCTGAAATGCAGCCAATCCTCCACATTTGTAGATTTAACTTTTACAGATTTGTTTATTTGCCAGTTTGATTAATATGGTCTACAGAGTCACACTGGAAGACCTAGACTTTTCAAGATAGATGTCCTCCTAGGCAAAGATAAAAACCAGTGGTTTCTTATTTGTAGTATTTCTGCATTTGCAGGCATTCCTCAATTTCTATGCTCAGATAATGTGGAGAGCTGTCTATCTAGTTTACAGTTCCTGGTATTCCCTGGTGGTCCCCTATCCATGTACCAACCGGGCCTAACCCTACTTAGTTTCCAAAATCGAGATAATCTAGCACATTCAAGAAATTTGGGAGCAGGTTGGATTTCTTCTATAGAATCATAGTTGGAAGAGACCTTGTGGGCCTTCCTGTCCAACCCCATTCTGCCAAGAAGCAGGGAAATCACCTTTAAAGCATCCCCGACAGATGGCCATCCAGCCCCTGCTTAAAAGCCTCCAAAGAAGGAACCTCCACTACACTCTGGGGCAGAGAGTTCTACTGCTGAACAGCTCTCACAGTCAGGAGTTCTTCCTCATGTTCTGGTGGAATCTCCTTTCCTCTAGTTTGAAGCCATTGTTCCATGTCCTAGTCTCCAGGGAAGCAGAAAATAAGCTTGCTCCCTACTCCTTATGATTCCCCTCACATATGTATACATGGCCCTCATCATGTCTCCTCTCAGCCTTCTCTTCTGCAGACCAAGCATGACCAGCTCTTTAAGCCGCTCCTTATAGGGCTTATTGTTCAGACTTTTGATCATTTTAGGCGCCCTCCTCTGGACACTCCAGCTTGTCAATATCTCTTTTCAATTGCGGTGCTCAGAATTAGTCACAGTATTCCTGGTGTATTCCAAAACATACTAAAAGATACAGATCAGTATTCTAATCTTAGTGTTAGAGACCTAACAAATGTTTCACTTTGGTATCATTTTCCAGGAGTTTGGCCTTGATTCCTTACGCTGTTTTCATTTTTCTTCAATGGTAGAGTGATGGTACTTGGCTTTACCTTGCTTTATTCATGTTTCTAATGATAGTTTTTTCTTGTTTTTGAAGACATTTATTTATGGGGAAGGGGAGTCCTATAAATAGCTGGAAAATGGATATAAAAACATTTATCTGTTCTCTCAGGTTTAAAAAGTGCATTTCTTATTCATGGTTTTCCAGGGGTCCTGTGCCCCTAATTACTGCCCAGTTTAATCCCCTTTCGAAACTGTCAAAGGCTGCAGCTACACTGCAGAGTTATAACACTTGGATACCACTTGAATGATCATGACGCCAAAACATTAGCCCTCCAGGCATTTTGGACTCCAACTCCCACCATTCATAACAGCCTCAGGCCCCTTCCTTTAACCCTTAGCCGCTTAAGCCTGGGCCAACCTGGAGGGACGAAGTTGGCCCAGGCCTGATCTACACTGTGGAATTCATGCACCTTGACACAACTGCATTTGACCAGCTTGATTAGCACTAAAGAGCCTTGCAGCTTCAAAGCTTGGCTGCTTCCTGCCTGGGGGAATCCTTTGTTGGGAGGTGTTAGCTGGCCATGATTGTTTCATGTCTTGACAAGTCTACATAGGGATCATCAAATGCTTAAGCGGCTGAAGGGGAAAAGGAAAGGGCCTGAGGCTGTTAGGAATGGTGAGAGTTGAAGTCCAAAACACCTGGAGGGAGGAAGTTAGCCCAGGCCTGATCTACACTGTGGAATCAATGCAGATTGACACCACTTGACCCGCCCTGGCTCAATGCTATGGAATCCTCAAAGGTTGTGGTTTTGCAAGATCTTTCAGCTTCTCTAACAAAAGTTCTTTCCTAGCTTTGAAGCGGTGTGAAAACTGCATTCCTTCCACAGTGTAGATCAGGCATGGGCAAACTTTCTAACCTGAGGGCCTCATGGTGGGTCAGAACAGGATGGGTGGGCCAGGGGGGAGGGGATTTACCCCAAGACCCCTCCCTGCTCTTTCCTTCTCTTCCTCTTCTCTTTTGGAGGCAGAAAGTGATGGGTCACAGAAAACAGAAAATGTTTGGATCACAAAAGGGTTAGCCTTAGTCAGAATGAGATGGTAGACAGGAGAGAAAAAGTGTATCCATTAGATCCCGTATTGCCTACTTATCCCTGATATAGAATCCTAAGCTGGAAGAGACCCCCTAAGGGCCGTCCAGTCTAATCCCCTGCCATGCAGGAAGGCAGAATTAAAGCACTCCTGGTAGATAGACTCTGCAGAAAAGCCTTCAGAGAAGGAGCCTCCACCATACTCCCAGGAAGCCTATCCTATTCCAGGAAGTTCTTCCTAATCTTTTCAGTTGAATCTCTTTCCCTGCCATTTGAACCCATTGCTCCCTTGTGCCCTGGTCTCTAGAGCAGCAGAAAGCCAGTTTTCCTCCTCAATGAGACACCCTTTGAAATCTTGAAACATAGTTTTCATGTTCCCTCTGAACTGTCTCTTCTCCCAGCTAAACATCCCCCAGGAGGAAAGGAGAAAGAAAAGAGAAGAAGGAAGAAGAAAAAAGGGAGGAAGAAAGGAGAAAGGAAAGAAGGGGTAGGAGGAAGGAGGAAAGAGAAGAGAAGGAAGGAAAGGCAAAAGGAAGAAGGGAGGAAGGAGGGAGAAGGAGAAAGAGGGAGCGAGGGAAGGAAGGAGGAAAGAGGGAAGGAATTGAGTAATTCAGGGCAAAAAGCTGGAAAGATAGAGAGAAGGAAGGGAAGGAGGAAAGGGTAGGGTGGAAGAGAGAAGGGTAGAGAGAAGGATGGAAGCAGAAAGAGGGAAGGAGGGAGGAAAGAAGGAAGGAATTGAGTGACTCTGCAAAAAGGTGGAAGGATAGAGCGAAGGAAATGAAGGAAAAAGGAAAGATAGAAGGAAGGATAAAAGGGTAAAAGGAAAGGATAAAAGGAGAAAGGGAGCAAGGGAAGGAGGGTGGAAAGAGGGAAGGAATTGAGCAATTCGGGGCAAAAAGGTAGAAGGACAGAGAGAAGGAAGGGAAGGAAAAAGGAAAGAGAGAAAGAAGGATGAAAGGGTAGAAGGGAGGAATGGAAGGAGAAAGAGGGAGAGAGGGAAAGAAGGAGGAAAGAGGGAAGGGAGTGAGTAATTCAGGGCAAAAAAGGTGGAAGGACAGAGAGAAGAAGGAAGGAAAGGAAAGAGAGAAGGAAGGAAAAGGGAAGGATAAAAGGAGAAAGGGAGCAAGGGAAGGAGGGTGGAAAGAGGGAAGGAATTGAGCAATTCGGGGCAAAAAGGTAGAAGGACAGAGAGAAGGAAGGGAAGGAAAAAGGAAAGAGAGAAGGAAGGATGAAAGGGTAGAAGGGAGGAATGGAAGGAGAAAGAGGGAGAGAGGGAAAGAAGGAGGAAAGAGGGAAGGGACTGAATAATTCAGGGCAAAAAGGTGGAAGGATAGAGAGAAGAAGGGAAGGGGAAAGGAAAGAGAGAAGGAAGGACGAAAGGGTAGAAGGGAAGGATGGAAGGAGAAAGAGGGAGAGAGGGAAGGAGGGAGGAAAGAAGGAAGGAATTGAGTAATTCAGGGCAAAAAGGTGGAAGAACAGAGAGAAGGAAGAGAAGGGGAAAAGGGTAGAAGGGGAGGATGGAAGGAGAAAGGGAGCAAGGGAAGGAGGGAGGGAGGAAAGAGGGAAGGAAGTGAGTAATTCAGGGCAAAAAAGGTGGAAGGACAGAGAGAAGGAAGGGAAGGAAAAAGGAAAGAGAGAAGGAAGGACGAAAGGGTAGAAGGGAAGGATGGAAGGAGAAATAGGGAGAGAGGGAAGGAGGGAGGAAAGAGGGAAGGAACTAATTGGGAGCAAAAAGGTGGAAGGATAGAGAGAAAGAAGGGAAGGAGAAAGGGAAGAGAGAAGGAAGGAACGAAGGACGAAAAGGTAGAAGGGAAGGATGGAAGGAGAAAGAGGAAAGGAGGGAGGAAAGATGGAAGGAATGGGAAGGGGGAAAAAGGGAAGGAAGGACGTAAGGAAGAAAAAAGGGAAGGAAAAAAGGAAGGAAGGAAGGAAGGAAGGAAGGAAGGAAGGAAGGAAGGAAGGAAGAGGAAGGAAGGAGAGGGAGGGAGAGAGGAAAGGAGGGGAGGGAGGAAAGAGGAAGGAAGGAGAGGAGGGAGAGGGAGAAAGGAAATGAGGGAAAGAAGGAGGAAGGATGGGAAGATAGGATAGTGAGAGGGAGGACCTGAGAAAAGATCCCAAGGGGCCACATCCGGGCCCCGGGCCTGGGTTTGCCCATACCTGGGGTAGATGCCCCCGGGTTAGTGGCAGACCCTCGATTGGCTCCATTCGTCCCTCTCTTCCCTCCCTCCAACCTGAGGAGGGACCCACTTCAGTGCCCTGTCTCTTTAGGCTCCAGATCCACCCAGATCTCCGCCTGCCTTCCCAAAGCAGGCAGTCCTTTGCCAGACTGCAGAAGCCAAGCGGCCACGGCGCAGGACTCCTGGAGAGGGACGGGGCTCCTTCTTCTTCCCCGCCTCCCCGCCTCCCTCCCGGGCTCATTCCTCGGGAAACGAGGGGCAGGGAAGACCCGAAAGGAGAAGGCATTGGAAGCCCCGACTGGAGGCAAAGTCTTTGCGCAAAAGCCGCCAGAGGCATTGGGGCGAGTGCGCGCCGGAGAGACGCGCGTGTCGGCTTTCCCACATCCCTTCCTCCGACAATTCTTCTTCCCCAGAGCAAGAAGAGAACTCCCTATTCCTCGTGGGAGTGGATTTGGGAAGATTGAGGAGGAAAAGAAGAGCCCGCCAGGCAGAAACCATGACGAGGGCGTTGGGGCGCAATTGTGCCGACCTTCTGAAGATGGGGAAAAGGAGCCAAAGGGGCTCCAGGGCTCCGGGCCTGCAGGGAGGGTGGCCAAGGGCTGCTGGTGGCCCCTTTGGCCAATAGCGAGAGGAAGAGGCGGAGGAGGAGGAGGAGGAGAAGCCAGGCAGAGGCGCAGAGAGAGTGCCAAGGATCGGCTGGGAGAGAAAGGAGAGCAGCCCGAACAGAAGCCGAAAAGCCTCCAAGGGGCGAAGGGAGGCAGACCCGGACCTAGCCATGGTGCCTTCACACTTTGGGGTCTTCTAGGCGAGGATGAGGAAGGCTGGCCTCGCTTTCCCCCAACTGGGATCCGTGCGGAGCTTCCTTAGGATCCAAGCGCAGGGCTCGCGGGGTTTTGATTGGCTCTCCTCTCCGGTTTAGAGGATCCCTTTCTCTCTCTCTCTCTCTTTCTTTCTCTCCGCCTCAAGCAGCTGGTCCACCCACTGGATCGCGTCCAGAGCCTTCTCATCCCTTTTTAGGAGGACTCTTCTTTCCTTCTTCTGCTGCTCCAGGCGCCGGAGGAAAGTCCCAAGGCTTCCAAGACCAGCACGAGGTAATATCACTGAATCCCACCCTTCGATTTTCATATCAGGGGAAGGAGAAGAGGAAGGGATGGGGAAAGCAATGGGGGTTTCTCTGGAGAGCACCCAAAAGGGTTTGCTCAAGCAAAGGAGATAGATCAGGCATGGGCAAAGCTGGACCCTCCAGGGGCTTTGGACTCCAACTCCCACCATTCCTAACAGCCTCAGGCACTGAAGAGCCTTGCAGTTTCAAAGCTTGGCTGCTCCCTGCCTTGGGGAATCCTTTGATGGGAGGTGTTATCTGGCCCTGATTGTTTCATGTCTGGACAAGTCTACATAGGGATCACCAAACGCTTAAGCGGCTGAGGGGGGAAAGGAAAGGGCATGAGGATGTTAGGAATGGTGGGAGTTGGAGTCCAAAGCACCTGGAGGGTCCAAGTTTGCCCATGCCTGAGTTAGATAGAGATAGAGATAGAGATAGAGATAGAGATAGAGATAGAGATAGAGAGATGACCCAAAGCACCTGGAGGTTCCCAGTTTGTTCATTCCTGATAATAGAGATAGAGATAGATCAGTGTTTCCCAACCTTCCTAATGCCACGACCCCTTGATACAGTTCCTCATGTTCTAGTGACCCCCCAACCATAAAATTATTTTCCTAGCTACTTCATAACTGTCATTTTGCTACTATTATGAATTGTCACGTAAATATCCGATATGCAGGGTGTATTTTCATTTACTGGACCAAATTTGGCACAAATACCTGATATGCCCAAATTTGAATGCTGGTGGGGTTGTGGGGGATTGATATTGTCTTTTGGGAGTTGTATTTGCTGGGATTTATAGTTCACCTACCATCAAAGAGCATTCTGAACTCCACCAAGGATGGAACTGAACCAAACTTGGCACACAGAACTCCCATGACCAACAGAAAATATTGGAAGGGTTTGGTGGGCATTGACTTTGAGTTTCGGAGTTGTAGTTCACCTGCATCCAGGAAGCACTGTGGACTCAAACAATGATGGATCTGGAACACACTTGGCACAGATACTCAATATGCCCAAATGTGAACACTGGTGGAGTTTGGGGAAAATAGACCTTTACATTTGGGAGTTGTAGTTGCTGGGATTTATAGTTCACCTACAATCAAAGAGAATTCTGAACCCCCTCAACCATAATGTTGGGCCAAACTTCTCAGATAGAATGCCCATGACCAACAGATGGGCGTTCTCAGATAGAACGCCATGACTGACACTCCCTCATGACCCTCCCAGGGGTCCTGACCCCCAGGTTGAGAAATGCTGGGATAGATAGATGGCCCAAGACTGTGTTGATGAGCTCCTTGTGAGGATGGAGAGGTCCTCATGAAAGTAGGGCTATTTGGTACCAAGGTGGCTCTTGGTCACCAAGCATTCAGATTTGGTGACTTTGCAAACTTGGACAGCCACTAAAATGTGGTTGTTCCTTATCCTTATGTGTTGTCAAAGGCTTTCATGGCTGGAATCGCTAGGCTGCTGTGAATTTTCCTGGGCTGTCTGGTTATGTTCCAAAAGCATTCTCTCCTTATATTTTGCCCACATCTATCTATGGCAGGCTTCCTCAGAGGTTGTGAGGTCTTTTGGAAACTAGGCAAGTGGGGTTTATATATCTGTGGCATAATGTCCAAGGTGGTAGAAAGAACTCTTGTCTGTTAGAAGCAGACAAGAGTTGCACTTGGCCAGCTTGATTAGCACTGAATAGCCTTGCAGCTTCAAAGCATGGCTGCTTCTTGCCTGAGGTTTATATATCAGTGGAATTATGTTCAGGGTGGGAGAAAGAACTCTGTCTTCTTGAGACAAGTGTGAATGTTGCACTTGTCAGATTGATTAACACTGAGTAGCCTTGAGGTTTCAAAGACTGGCTGCTTGCTGCTTGGGGGAATCCTTTGTTGGGAGGTGATTAGCTGGCCCTGATTGTTTTATGCCTGGACAAGTCTGCATAGGGAACCATCAAACTCAGGAAACTCACAGCAACCCAATTATCCTTATGTATATCCAAAAGTAAAGAGAAAGGTGTGTGCATAAAAAACCCTTGAGATTTCACCAAATCCATCTGGTGAGTGTGGTTACCACCAAAGGTGGCACATCCCCTGAAATAGTTAGGATCCAATTGGAAAGCGAGTGAGTATTTCTGCTTTTATTTGGTGGGATTGGGAGTGGACAAGTAGGTTGGGAGCAGCAGAAGGGGAGCAAAGGTTTGAATCCAGAGGTGGCCAAAATGAGGCTTTGCCTTGCTGGGACCAGGAGTGGCCAGCAGTCTAGATTGCTTCTCCTTACCTAAATGATAAAAGGAAATTATTTGAGAGTGGCAGCTGAGTCCCTTCAGAGAGAGGGGGTGGATTATGAATAGATGATGATGATGATGATTATTATTATTATTATTATGGAGCCCCCAGTAGCGCAATGGGTTAAACCCTTGTGCCGGCAGGACTGCTGACTGAAAGGTTGGTGGTTCGAATCTGGGGAGCGGGGTGAGCTCCCATCTGTCAGCTCCAGCTTCTCATGCAGGGACATGCGATAAGCCTCCCACAGGATGGTAACACAGCCGGACGTCCCCTGGGCAACTTCCTTGCAGATGACCAAATTTTCCCACACCAGATGTGACTTGCAGTTTCTCAAGTTGCTCCTGACATGAAAAAAATATTATTATTATAGAACCCTTATTTGAGAATCATATCATCTGTGCCACCCAGGAAATCTAGCCTTCTCTCTCTCTCTCTTTCTCTATCTCATGTGCTCTATGTGCACATACAGATACAGATCCTTTCTCCAACTTGGCACCCTGTAGATGTGTTTGTACTGCAATCCCCATCACACCATCCAGTGTGTCTTGTGGACAATGGGGTTAGTAGTCCTGCATATTTGAGGGAGCCATGTCAATTAACATCTATCTCCACACACTGCTTCTACACACACGGCTTCCTCCTCCTGCTTCTCGGTCTGTGCTGCAGGCTTTGGGCTCCTGCTGGAAGACGAATTCAGCCGTCTTGGTTGCCTTCTCTCACATTTTCAGAAGACTTGTCAAGTGAGAACCTGGCTCTGGGGTCAAGCCTTTGGAGATTAATATATAGTGCAATAATAGCCTTGAAATATGTGCAATTGATCTTTGGAACAGCCCCGGATTATGATTGAGGATGGCATGATTTCAATAGTGAATGCAATATTATATATGTTTTAATGTGCATTTAATTTTATTTATTTTTTAACTTAAGTGTATTCTAACTGGGCTGTTGTAGGTTTTTTCGGGCTATATGGCCATGTTCTAGAGGCATTTTCTCCTGACGTTTTGCCTGACGTTTTTCTACCTCACTACCTCTGAAGATGCTTGCCATAGATGCAGGTGAAACGTCAGGACAGAATGCCTCTAGAACATGGCCATATAGCCCAAAAAAAACCTACAGCAACCCAGTGTATTCTAACTGTTTGTTGTCCAATGGCATTGATTAGTTTCCATATATAAAGCCGCCTTCGGGGTAGAGAAAAGGCTGGATATAAATAGAGTATATAAATAAATATAAATAAATCAGTTTGCCTGACTGACCCAGTGGCAGATTCTTCCCATTCTCAGTGCCTTCCCTGCTGCAGTGCATTGAGCCTGGGCAAAAGGGTTCCCCATTCCCTGCCTGCACACCATGTGCTAAACCGAGCCTTGGTTGCCTTTTGTCTCTTGCCCTCTTCCACCACTACTGAAAACCCTGCAATTATGGTTGAATGCCAAAAACTGACCCAGGTTCAGCAGAGATTGGCAGCCGTACAATTGGTGCCTCGGTCCGACCTGGGCTCAGAGAATTGTATGAATGAAGGAGCCCTGGTGAGTGGGGAACAGGTGGGCACGTGCTGCCGGCCAGCGAGAGGAGGATGTGGCAGGGAGGAGTGGAAGGATGGGGAAACTTCCTGGCCAGCTTGCAGGATGCCTGCATTGTAGTCTCTGAACAGACTCTTTGTGCTGATTCGATTAAATGCCTCTGGCAGAGTTAACTAGAGCAATGTACAAGGCAGCAAACACAGAGAGTGGAGGAGAGAATGCACGGGAGAGGGAACATGCTTCGCGTATGATGCCATTGCCATGTGGCAAGCGAGTTCGGCAATAACGTTTCGAGTGGGTCATTTTCCATCAGTGCCATTGTGAAAGCTTCACCATGTACAAATCAGCCTCATTTGCAATGCTCAAGCGGGCAGATGGGATGGCAGGTGGATCCCCTGTGTTTTGACACAGAGCAACCTTTCCCAACTTAGCACTCCCCTACTGGATGTGTCGGATCACAACTCCTGTCATCCTCAAAAAGCCAGGAGGTTGGCTGGAGATGGTCTGAACTGTAGTGCTTCATTGACGCGGATGCCAGTTTGGGCAAGGCTGCGATCACTCTTACTTGTATTGTTGGAGGCTTTCATGGCTTTCATGGCTGGAATCACTGAGTTATCTGGGCTGTAGGGCCATGTTCCAGAAGCATTATCTCCTGACATTTCACCTACATCTATGACAGGCATCCTCAGAGGTTGTGAGGTCTGTTGGAAACTAGGAAAATGGGTTTAGATATCTGTGGAATGTCCGGGGTGGGAGAAAGAACTATTGTCTGTTGGAGGCAAGTGTGAATGTTGCAACTGACCACCTTGATTAGCATTGAATGGCATTGCAGCTTCAAAGCCTGGCTAATTCCTGCCTTGGAGAATCCTGTGAGTTTTCCGGGCTGTTTGGCCATGTCCCAGAAGCATTCTCTCCTGACATTTCACCTACATCTATGACAGGCATCCTCAGAGGATGTGAGGTCTGTTGGAAACTAGGAAAATGGGCTTAGATATCTGTGGAATGTCCAGGGTGGGAGAAAGAACTCTTGTCTGTTGGAGGCAAGTATGAATGTTGTAACTGACCACTTTAATTAGCATTGAATGGCCTTGCAGCTTCAAAGCCTGGCTGATTCCTGCCTGGGAGAATCCTGTGAGTTTTCCAGGATGTTTGGCCATGTTCCAGAAGCATTCTCTCCTGACGTTTCACCT